GTTCTGGGAGTGTGTATCCGCCGCTCGAGCGGGATTGTTGACGCTCGAGCGGGGCGTTTGACGCTCGAGCGGGGCGACTGGGTTAAAGCTCCGTGTTTTGACTTTTCAAATCACTTTTTCCACTTCTCTTCTCTCTCTTACTTTTCCAAAAACACCATTGTTGAGCTTCTCACTCTAAAGCTCTACCTTCTCTCTAGGTATTGATCTAATAGGAGTGATTTCCTCACCTTTGGCCTTTACAAAAAAGTTGTTGATCGTCGAGGGCTACCATTTGATCCGAGAAATTCGTGGTTTGGAGCATTTTCGTTTTCTTCACCTTCTTGGTTGGGAGCCATTCTTTGAGGTAGGGATATCCTACTCCTCTCTATGAGTTTTATCTTTAAATTTTAGTATTTTGAGATGTTGGGGTTGGTTTGGTAATTTCGTGAAAGTTTGGGGCCTTTGTGTAAATTTACAAAAGTTGGGGTTTTAGCTATATAAAACCTAAATGCATGTTTGACATGAATGAATGAAGTAAATGTTGAAACATTGATGAAAGTGAAACCGTGTAGGGTTGAAATGTTAATTATGGAAAATGCCCTAATTACATTGATTGATTAATTTGTAAAATTAATTGTTGGAAATTGGAAAGGGAAGGGATAAAAGGGTGTAGTAGAGTCACTTATCGCTCACCGAATTAAAATGTTGATTTAATATCCATTTGTGCATTTATTTACTGTTTAGAAATAACTGCTTTGGGCTATCGGAATGGAGGATAAGTCGTGATTGTTGTAGACAACAATGCATTTGATGATTAGGCAAACTAAAACTAATCGATTGGAATGTGTCATACAGTATGACGGTGGAAATTTGAATACTTAATTTTATGTATTGATTGATTGTGGGCATAGAACCTTGTGTTTTATATGCATTGTGTATGAGAGGAGGAGATGAGGGATTGTACTCCCGGTTTAGGGGAAATGGGGGATGTAACCTCTAAAACCGGATAGTGTTGGGCGGAGATGGGGGATGAACTCCGTAGATACAGCTCATATGCTTGTCTAGAGAAGTGAAGATACATAGCTCATAGGCTTATCCTTTGAGAAGTGTTAGATACAACTCATATGCTTGTTAGTGAAAGTGTGGATATACGCTTATATGCTTATCTGTTGATTGCGATGATATGTCTTATCTATTGATAATGTTGATAGTAGCTACATTGCTTATCTACTAAATAAAGTGGAGAATGAAAGTAACATAGACTTGTTGTTATGAAACCGCGATGAGATATATGTGAATGTAATCGGTTTTGGCCATCTATCATTGCTAATCTTTTAGTCATCGTTCATAGTTAGGGTTATAGTATATCTCTGCTGGCTTGTGGGCTCACCGCTATATGGGCATATCTATTTTCAGGTACAGGTAGCATGCCACCTCAAGACGTAGCTTGGGAGGCTTAGAGGCAAGTCGGACTTTTTGTCGTTTTTATTTTCTTTGATGTATTACATGTATATTCAAGCAACGGCGCTTTAATGTGTAATGAGTTTAAGCACTCTATTGTTGTAACCAAGTGTTAATTGGAAAGCTGTAAGCCCGTAGGGCATTTGCTTTTGTTTGTTACATGTAAATACTTTTGTAAGAAACTATTCTCGATTGAATAGAAGAATGTTTATCTTTATTACGCATTCATGTCTATATTGATGGGTTTTAATGTTATTATTTTTGAGGGCGTTACACCCTAGTTTTGGAAATTGGTTCAATAAAAAGGGGTTTTGCGTAATTGATTTCTAAAACATAAAATTTGAAAGGTATTTGCTTAACGTTGAGGTTAAAAAGGTGTGATTTGAAATATTTTTTCTATATACACCTTAGTTGGTGAGCTATGGCCAATGAAAAAATCTTATTATTGAAGAGGGAATTGTTGTTGCATTGGAATCTTTACGGGGAAAAATGAGAATTTAAAAATTGCTGCATTATATGCATTATTAAATTTCTTTTATGGTACAATAATGGGTGCAAACAGTGGAAAGGTGAAGGGGGTATTGTCTATAAGTCCCGAGTACTGGGTGCGTTGGGTGGATTGGGTTGTATTGTTTTGATACCCACACGGGAGTCAAGGTGCCCAATTTTACCTATCTACAATATGCTGCCGGACGAATGTGTGGAAAATGTTTTTGGGTGTCCACAAGCTCGCCGTTTCTGGAGTCAGCAAATGTGGAATAAACCCATGGTTTTGGGTGTCCACGTCCCCACATTTTCTAGAGTTCGACAAATGTAGAAGAAAAATGTTTTTAGGGCCGGCATTGGCCCGCCGTTTCTTGGAGTTGGCAAATGTGGGGGAACCTATTTTCAGTAATACAAATCTAATATCTATGTATGTATTTTGAATTTACGACCTTCTACTCGTGAATGTGCATAGTATATTGTACCGGCCAACGAAAGATCTTAACGTTGTCATTCAATACTCATGGCATAATGTACCTATAGCATATACAGAATTCAAAAGTATCTGCTTCAAACAAAATAAAACAAATAGAAGAGGACCTTAACTAAAATTAATTATAATGCTATGACAATATAACTTAATTTCAACTCTTTCATTCTCATTTTTATAATTCATATTATTTTTCGATAATAGAAATGGCTGTTGAGACCCACGCTGGGAATCTCAAAGTAAGTAACCTAATAATTAGAACCTTAAGGTGAACTTTAATAATGGCGCTCGTTTGGTCGAATAAATTTTGGATGCATTATAGATTTGTTTATGTACATCACTATTCAATGCAATGTTTATTTTTGTTTCAAATGGGAATTTTACTTACGTCTGCTCACAATAATTCGTATAAATATAATATTCTAATTTGAAATGGTTTTTTAGGGCTATATTCTGGGTGCCCGGCCGAACAGATGTTAATATTAATGAAAATTCAAATACATCTCTCCAACCGGATGGGACTTATATCTGATAAACTTTATGAGGTGATTGTTTGTGCTAACAATATTAACGCACTCAAAAAAAAAGTATTTTTGAAAACTGTCTAGAAAATGAAATTTGTGGATTAGATATTGGGTGTGACTACATCACACTAAATTTAAAATTTACACTTACAACATTTCATTTCCGAGAATACTTTTCTAAAATACTTTTTTCTGGGTATGTAAAAATTTTTTCATTCCTAATGTTGTATGATTGAAAATTATGGTCTTTTCATACAGTAGCATTGCAAGGTTTGATTTTTTTCTTTTTTTAAAAAAAATGTTTTACAGGAGAAACCAAATAATAACTTGTAATGGCTAAATTATTATGATGTTGGATCCCAAACCAAAGCAGAGTGCTTTGAAAGCCTTCAAAAAGATTGCAAACGTGAAGAGCCCATTTGGTGATTTCAATTTTCATGACCAAAATTATTTGAAGATTCTAGAATACTAAGGATGAGAAATTTTTATTTTTGATTTGTAGTTGAATTCATGAATAAACAAAAATGATATATTAAGGTGCATGTATACAAAAGATAAACAAATTATACATATATATATAAATATATATAACAAATTTCCACCCAAATGGTTACAATTCATGATCATGATGTTTTTCAATTGATGTTATAACCTATTTAATGCATTACCTCTAACTAAGTTTTGCTCCACACCCAAGCTTAACCATTTTCCACATGAAACGAAGGTGAAGTACCTCTAAAGTGACTGTTTTTGGGAAGAATGAAACACTTTTTGGGGTGTGAAGCTTTTGTGTTGAAACCGAGTGCGCTATGTGTGTGGTTTGCAGTTGTTCGGTCACTAATATGCCGTAGACTTGTGTTTTGGTATAACCAAAGGAAAATTTTTTGAGGGAAAATTAAACTTGTAACTGATTTTTGTTGTATCATTTCTTACTTGTTGATACAATTTTTATTTTGTTTTATGAATGGTAATGAAGAACAATGTGTGGTAAAGCTTGAAAATAGTTCAATGGGAAAGAAGTGTTTGTAGAATTGTTCAATATTTTGTTTTTCTACTGTTTGTATCTAATGTGGAATGAGATAGGGGAAGAGGAATTTGGGGGGGGTGTTTTCCTAGGGCGTAACATGAAAGATTCCAAAATAAAATAGACATTACCTAATACATGCCCAACAAGTGGAAGCTTTTGGATCGTGGGAGTCCACCATGGGTCCCATGTTTTGATTGATTTAATTTTTATTTTTTGTATAGTCCTTTAGTTAGTGTATATCATCTTTAACAAAAAATAAAAAAAAGAAAAAGAAAATCAATTCCAATTAATCTTAGCTTGTTTAATTTATTACAATTGGTATGCCAAAAAAATGAAATTGATAAGTGCATTTTAAAAATAAAAATAAAAAAAATTATTTTTTTATAATGACAAACAGAATAAAATTGAGAAGGCTAAAATTATCAAATTGATTTAAATTTTTGTGTGGATGATATAAACAAAGAATCTAAAAAATGCTATGTTCAAATAATTGAAATGAGACTCGTAGTATGCCGCGGGCCCGAACAACACATTTGAATCTAGATTTTAGGGCAGGGGGAAGCCTAATCTAAGTAAAATACGTACAAACTACATACATAATTACATATATGTATATATACGTTTCCTGGTTTTTACATGGTCCATGTGCAACATAAAAAGAAATGAGAACATTCATACGCTGGCTAGTGGAAGAGGGATTGTGTTTCAGATCTAGAGGTGCAAAAGCTTTTGAGGGTCTCCAGATTATTAAAATTTCAATTCTGGTTAGGTGAGGGAAGATATGGTTAACTAGTGTTGTTTTCTGGCTTTTTCCTTCTTTTTTCGCCCCATTCTCCAACACTACTACTTTCAGCTCTTGACAATCCCGACATAAAGTCCTTTTAGTTTCGGTAATTTGTCGGTGCATATTGGGAACGAACGCGACCATTCAATCAATTTCTCACAGCCACCGCAGATGGTCCACATCTCTCAATTCTTTAAAGAACTCTAATGGAGTATTTCCTATCCCATATCTCTGTCAGCTTTTGGTAGTTCACTAAATAAACAATTCCTGCAAGGCAGGGAACGTGACCTGCAACATTCATAAACATAATTGTTAAACATTAAGACTCCAAGGCCAGCATTATAACAAGCAGTAAAATATTGCCCATAAATTGATGTTAGTCATAATTAGTCAATCATTTTAAGTCAACAAAATTGATTTTACTATGTTCCAATTTGCCAAAACTAAAATTGTTGGTTCCATAACAATTAATGATTTGTTTCATGTAAAGGAAACTATAATAATTGGAAGTAATAAATCTTTTTTGTGGCATTAGTGCAAACCTTTTGTGCCTTATTGTGGCAATAGGTGTTGTTTCACGAGTTGGTTTGATTGTTTTGTAAAGCAAAATCATCAAATGAACCATTAAGAACATTCAACCCACGATAAAATCACTCCTTTCTCAAAATTGAATTGGGTTGGCAGATTAAAAGTACAAACGGAAAGAAATCATCCTTCCACATTATTTCACATTTCATCGTCAAATTTTCTATTTGACTTTGATAATATGTGTTCTAATGATTTAATGAAAGGGATCGCTTTTCTCCAGTTGAAATTTCAACTTAACCCAAACAGTTGAGAATCTCGTACTAATAATGTCATTAAATAGAGGTCTCTTCTGTAAGAGTTTATGAAAAGATTTAACTAAAACCAAGAGTAAAAATATTTGGGGCAAGATGCATTTTATAAACTCTTAACTGTAAGAGATCCTCCATTTAATGACTATTACTGGTAAGATACATTAACTGTCTGTTCCATTTGAAACTATCAAATTAGAGACAAGCAATCCCTTATAAAAGACCCATTTGAGAATTTATTAAAATACAGATTACCCTGTGTGATTTTTAGAAATTGCATCTTGCACTTTCAATTTTTCAGCATATAAACAAATGACTTTCATGTTCATTAATAAATTTATCAAGTCAATTAACATTTTTTAATAATGCATAACATATTTCCAATTAACAATTCAAGTAATTTTATTGTTATATAAGGAGAGTAGTTCGAGATTTTATTTTTTTCTTGTTAAATTTCTGTTAGATAAATTTTTTTGAATGAATCTTCTAGAACTATAGGAAGCAACATATATTTTTTGCAAATCTCAAAAAGTGTATTTATAATTTTTCCTAATTTCAAATATAGAAAATTTTATGATTCGTGTAAACATATGCCTAATGGAAAAGAAAAAAAAATAAAAATTATCAGTGTTTTATTGTTTCACCTTTTCAACTCATTTAAGGCAATTGGCAATTCTATTTCACCCTTCAGTTAGTAAGTTGGGCGCGAACTGGAATAATTTGCACTGTTATGGGACTTTTTGTAGAATTTTTTATGGATCGATAATAGCAAGCATAGTTGCAAGATCAATCAGCCTTAAGTATGTAGAGGACTTAAACGCAAAAATGAGATACCAGATGTTCTATAAGTAGTCTTACATCATGTAGGGATAAAAATTAAAATTGTACAATTTTTTTTTGAAAATTATGAAAACCTTGAAATTTTACTATTTTATAATAATAATAAATAAATGAATAAACAAAACCATCAAATTTGGTTTAATGACAAACATGATAAATTAAAAAGGTTAAAATAATCGAATTGATTTAATTTTTTTTTTGCAGATGATATAACCAAAATCCTAAAAAGGCACCGGTTCGAATAGTTGAAATAAGACTCGTTGTAAAGCGCACCGACCCAAACAACATATTTCAAATCTAGATTATGCCACAGGAGGGAAACCTAAATCTAAATACAAGATGCTACCTATACATATGTGGGTTATCTGGCTTTAGGGGCCATGCGCAACAAAAAAATGATAGAGGACATTCCATAACCTGGCTAGTGAAGAGGGATTGTGGTTTCGATCTGAGGTGCAAAAGCTTTCGAGGGCTCTCCAAATTATTGCAAATTCATATCTTGTTAGGTGAGGGAATGATTGGTACTAAGTGTTGTTTTCTGCTTTTTCTCTTTTTCGCCCATTCTCCCAACACTACACTTTCAGCTCTTGACTCCCCTAAACATGAAGTCCCATTTAGTTTCGGAATTGTCGTGCATATTGGACGGAACCGACATTCACCAATTTCTCACAGAACAAGATGGTCACGTTCTTCTCAATTCTTTAAAGAACTCTAATGGAAGTAATTTCTCATCCCCATATCTCTGTCAAGCTTTTGTAGTCCAGAAATAAACAAATCCCACCCAAGGCAGGGAACATGCCCTGCACATTCATAAAATAATTGTTAAAACATTAGACTCCAAGGCAGCATTAATAACAAGCAGTAAAATTTTGCCCAATAAATTGATGTTTAGTGCATAATTACTCAATCATTTAAGTCCAATAAACTTGATTTTACTATGTTCCAATTAACTGCAAAAACTTTAAATTGTTTGGTTCCATAACAATTAATGATTCTTGTTTCATGTAAAGGAAACTATATTAAGATTGGGAAGTAATCAATTTTTTGTGGCAATTAGTGCACCTTTTGTACTTATTGTGGCAATAGGTTGTTGTTTCACAAGTTGGTTTGAATTGTTTTGGAAAGCAATTCATCAATTGAACATATTAAGAAAATATTCAACCCACTATAAATTCACCCTTTCTGCAAAATTGATGGGTTCGCAGATTTAAAACTACAAACGGAAATAAAAAATCATCCTTCACATTTTATTTTCACATTTCCATCGTCAACTTTTTCTAATTGGACTTTGATAATATGTGCCTATGACTTTATTAAAAGGGGAATCGCTTTTTCTCCAGTTGAATTTAAACTCAACCAGACAGTTGAGATTTCTTACTGATAAATGTCATTAGAGGTCTCTTTACCGCTATGAGTTTTGGAAAAAGATTTAACTAAACAAGAGTAAAAAATATTGAGCCCAATGCATTTTATAACTCTTACTGGTAAGGAGACACTCCGTTTAATGACTATTACCGGTAAGATACCTTAACTGTCTGTTCCGATTTGAAACTGTCAACTAGAGACAGCCAATCCCTTTATAAAGACATCATTTGAGATTTTATTTAAAATACAGAATTACCCTGTGGTGATTTTTAGAAATTACATGCTTGCTCTTTTCAAGTTTTCCAGGCGTCTAACAAATGACTTATGTCACTTAATAAATTATCAAGTCAATTAAAATTTTTTTAATAATGCCATATAATATTTCAATTTACAATTCAAATAATTTTATTGTCATATAAGGAGTAGTTAAAGATTTTTTTTTTTGTTATCCTGTTAGATAAATTTTTTTTGACATTTCTAGAACTATAGGAAGCAATCTATATTTTTAGCAAATCTCAAAGAGTGTATTTATAAATTTTCATAATTTTAAATATAGAAAATTTAATGAATTCGTGTAAACATTTGACCTATGGAAAAGAAAAATAAAAATAATCAAGGTTTTATTGTTTATCCACATTTTCAACTCAATTAAGGCCAATTGCAATTCTCTTGTCCACCCTTCAGTGAGTAAAGTATGGTGTGATGGAAGCAATTTGGCACGGTTATGACTCTTGTTAGAATTTTTATGGATGGAATATAGCAAGCATAGATGCAAGATCAATCAGGCCAAGTATCTAGAGGACAAAACAAAAAATAGACACAGATGTATTATCAAAGTAAGTCTTACATCATGTAGGGATAAAATTAAAATGTTTTACAATTTTTTTATGAAAATTATGAACCTTGAAATTTACTAATTTTATTATTTATAATAATAAATAAATAAAAACATCCATTTGTTAAATGACAACCACAAAAATTAAAATGGCTTAAATTATTGAATTTGATTTAATTTTTTTGCAAGTTGATATATAACCCAAAAATCCTAAAAAAGGCACAGTTCAAATAATTGAAATAAGACTCGTTGTGAGCCCACGACCCAAACACATATTTGGAATCTTAGATTATGCACAGGAGGGGAAACCTAATCTAAGTAAAAATACCATACAAAGGATGCCCCCATTTACAATTATAACAATAATGTGTTTCTGGTTTTAGGGGCCATGTGCAATACAAAAATGAATAAAGGACAATTCCATACCTGGCTTAGTGAAGGGGATTGTGTTTTAGATCTAGAGTGGCAAAAGCTTTTGAGGCTCTCCAGAATTCATTAAAAGTCATTCTGGTTAGGTGAGGGAACGATATGGTGCTAGTGTTGTTTTCTGTTTTTCTTCTTTTTTTTCCCATTCTCCAATACTACTACTTTCAGCTCTGAAATCCCGAACATAAGTTCTTTTAGTTTCGGTAATTGTCGGTGCATATTGACGAAATGCCGACATTCAACTCAATTTCTCACAGCTCCAGATGGTCACTCTCTCAATTCTTTAAAGAACTCTAATGGAAGTAAATTTCCTATCCCATATCTTCTGCGCAGCTTTTTGGTAGTGTCAGCATATAACAATTCCACAAGGCAGGGAACGTGCCTGCAAAACATTCATAACAATAATTGTTACTTAGACCTGCCAAGGCCAGCATTATAAACAAGCAGTAAAATATTGCCCAATAAAATTGAAGTTAGTCATAATTAGTCAATCATTTAAGTCTATAATTTGATTTTACTATGTTTCCAATTAATGCCAAAACTTAAATTGTTGGTTCCATAACAATTAATGATTCTGTTTCATGAAAGGAAACCTATAATAGATTGAAGTAAATAAATCTTTTTGGTGGCATTAGTAGCAACCTTTTTGTACTTATTGTGCATAAGGTGTTGTTCAACGAGTTGGGTTTGATTGTTTTTTTGAAAGCAAATCATCATTTTTAACATATTAAAGAAAAATTTCAACCCAACTATAATTCACCTTTCTGCAAAAATTAATGGCGTTTCGGCAGATTAAAACGTACAAAACGGA